AACATTGTTATTAAAGAAAATATTTGTCAAAAGATTTATTAATAATTAAAAGTCATTTTTAATTTTGAATGAAAGTCATTTACTGCACAACATTTCGTTTTCTTTTAATCTTATTATTATTTCCCAAATTTTTATAAAAGTGTTGTAAAATGATTTCATCATCTGAAAGATGCCATAATATTATTATAAATGTATTTTAAATGATTTTTAAAATTTAATAACTAATAAAAATCAAATGCCAAAGCTGTTAAAATTACGTCAAGTTAACATGGTTAGAATTAAATAATCTAAACACTCATCATAAGTGTCTATCATTGATGTCTAAAATGGAAATTATGCGCTAATTTTTAAGATTAAGATTTAATTTTAAAAGTAAGAATAACTCTACAAGACATCAATATTCTGATAGAAAGTAATTTTAGACCACAGAAATTTTGAAAGTTGTTTTCAAAACGTGTAGAATTCATTGCACACAATAATTACATTCTATTTACGGCTTTTATGGTACTATAATTTAGATAATCCATACATTACAACGAAATTAATATTTATTCATGTTATAAAATATAAATTCACATTAAGCTTATAGTTGTAAAAATTGCTTTATATTATATTAATACAAGTGTTTAGATAAAAATAAATTTAACTGTTAAAAACAGATAGAGTGGTTAGACTTTATTCAATATTGCAGTAAAAATAGAAATATTTCAGACAATCTTCACTGAGATTTAAGAAAGATTGAGAAGAAGGTATGATTTATACTTTTAATGGATCTTAAATTTAATAATAAAATTATAAATGTTATAATTTTGTCTATAAATTTAAAGTAAATGATTGTTTTAACTTGATTAAAGTTGAGCATAATTTTTAGTATCTAAACTTAATAATTAATAACTAACTTAATAGAACTGTTTGAAAGCACACAATCTTTATTTGCAATAAAATATGTATTAATGTTGGATATTATGAAATATAGCTCATATTCGGGTTAAACTCAATTAAATAAGAAAACATTAATTTTTATTTTCATTGCACTTAACTGTTGTTTAAATTGATTGTAAAAATGAAACGAAGGGAAGAATAGCTCTAATTCTTTATAATCGGAGACAATTCACAGCAGAAATTATATATTTTGACAAACAATTTGTGTCACAGCTTTGTTGTCAATATTATATTAAATAACACTAAACTCTTGACCCAAAATAATGGTCATAATAATTACATATTAATACAATACTGTAATATGTAATTTATTTGTACACAAAAACAAAATCCTATTATTTAACAACAAAAGCATGTTTAAGATTTGCAAATAGTGTCAAAACAAATATATTTCACCAATCACATTTACATTTTTATTATCGGTAGTTATAAAAATTCTTATTTTGATTTAAAGTCTACACTTTTAACTTTTAAAGTTATTAAATTAAAAAATTGTCAAATATTTAATATATTTGTTTAATTTTACACAAAAATAAAATATTTATCAGTTTTAAGCACTTATAGTTTGTTTAGTTAATCTTCTAGTACAGTATATTAAGACTCACAAATTTTTATAAAGTAATTTAATTGGTTTAAAATAGATTCTGGATTAATGGGGAATGAGTTGTATTATTTGATTGAAGCACTTTTTTTATATCCTTTTCACATAAATTCCAAAATTCTTATTCTTTACACATCAAAATTAAACTATGTCAAATAAAATATATCAATAATTTCTAAACATTTGTGAGATAATCTTTAGTGTACTGACCTGTAATACTGCACATTCTATAGTATACTATAAATTAGGAATAGACAAAAAGAGGGACAAATTGTTTCTAATTATACGTGGTTATTGAAACACCTTGTTCATTGTATCCAATTATGATGAACATAACGATAAAATATAGTTAAAATGCACATTCATATATAGCTCACCGATACTCATACAAAATAAACATAAATATTATACTTATTAATAAGTTATTCTCGACTCCAATACTGAAGATTTTCACAATTAATTATTATCTACAATTAAAAACTCATTAATAAATATTTGATAAATTTTTAGTAAATATTACATAACCTATTTGACCATCAATAAATATATATTTTGAATATCTTTATATATTTAATAAATAATAGTGAAATAAATTGAACATGGTCATATTAAATTCAATATTCTGTATCTACTCTACCGGTAACAAGCTGACAATGAAGCTGTATACAAACTACAATAACTGCCTTATTTCGATATCTATGTGGAATATTAAATATTTGACCCCTCTCATGCCTCCCAAAGTGAATAACAGCTCTTAAAAAGTACATGGTTGGTTTTATATGCCCTAAACTCTCTGAATAACACAATTAAATTAAAATCGGAGTCTCGACAGTGAAAATATATGCAAACTCACAATGAAGTGAAGCGACAATTATATGATAACGTATTGTATGAATAGTGTATGGATTGTGAATGAGTTGTTGTTATGGCATATATTGATAACCTAATGATAAGTACACGTCATTTGCAGACATAAACCACTCTCGCATTCAAACCAATTCAACGCTAACTCAAGAGTCGGTCAACTGATCCGTAATAATGGTAAGTAATGAATGACNATATTCGGGTTAAACTCAATTAAATAAGAAAACATTAATTTTTATTTTCATTGCACTTAACTGTTGTTTAAATTGATTGTAAAAATGAAACGAAGGGAAGAATAGCTCTAATTCTTTATAATCGGAGACAATTCACAGCAGAGATTATATATTTTGACAAACAATTTGTGTCACAGCTTTGTTGTCAATATTATATTAAATAACACTAAATTCTTGACCCAAAATAATGGTCATAATTAAAGCATATCATATCATGCAAATGCATGTTTTTACCGGTTAGTTATATATGTTTGGGACTTTGGGGGCAAACGAATCACATAATAAGGAGTGTTTTAACGAACTTTTATTTTGCATATAAATGCATATTTGGCTCATAAATGCATATAATTGCATATTTGCTCCAAAAGCATATAAAAGTACTAATTTACACGAAAATCATAACTAAACATGTCTAAACTGTTAGAAAATTTACAATAAATGAAAATCAATGTTAGTTTGACTAAATATAATTTAAAAAACAAATATCTATTTGATTAACATTATTTAGTAGTGATAAAGTATTACCTATTGTAGTGGCAGGAATTATTATATCATTTAAAAAGAAATAATATATTTTTATTTTATATTTTGCCATTAATTAATTATATTTAAATACGTTTTGAAAGGCTAACGACTATTTTAATCATAATATTTGGCTATATTGTTCATAAAACATATTAAATAATACATATATCACATATTTAAAAATTTATAAATGCATATTTGAGTGCATATTTGATTATTTTAAAATGCATATTATATGACATATTTGACTGCTTATAAATGCATATATTTCTATGCTTTAGTCATAATAATCACATATTAATATAATACTGTAATATGTAATTCATTTGTACACAAAAACAAAATCCTATTATTTAACAACAAAAGCATGTTTAAGGTTTGCAAATAGTGCCAAAACAAATATATTTCACCAATGACATTTACATTTTTATTATCGGTAGTTATAAAAATTCTTATTTTGATTTAAAGTCTACATTTTTAACTTATAAAGTTATTAAATTAAAAAATTGTCAAATATTTAATACATTTGTTTAATTTTACACAAAAATAAAATATTTATCAGTTTTAAGCACTTATAGTTTGTTTAGTTAATCTTCTAGTACAGTATATTAAGACTCACAAATTTTTATAAAGTAATTTAATTGGTTTAAAATAGATTCTGGATTAATGGGGGAATGAGTTGTATTATTTGATTGCAGCACTTTTTTAATATCCTTTTCACATAAATTTCAAAATTCTTATTCTTTACACATAAAAATTAAACTATGTCAAATAAAATATATCAATAATTTTTAAACATTTGTGAGATAATCTTTAGTGTACTGACCTGTAATACTGCACATTCTATAGTATACTATAAATTATAAATAGATAGAAAGAGGGACAAATTGTTTCTAATCACACGTGGTTATTGAAACACCTTGTTCATTGTATCCAATTATTCACTATAAAATTTATAGTATAAATGTTCTCTAATACATTTTTCACCAAATATAGTTAAAATGCACATTCATGTATAGCCCACCGATACTAATACAAAATAAACATAAATATTATACTTATTAATAAGTTATTCTCGACTCCAATACTGATGATTTTCACAATTACCGTAAAATCTTGTGCATTACCCGCACTCATGTATAACCCGCACTTAAATTAAATTCACTTAAATTAAATAAATAACTAGTCAAACCTATCCTGACCTAGCCTAAACTAACTCATTAACTTAATAAATAATATTATAAACAATTTTAAGTAATTATTAAATTAAAATAATTGTTTTTAAACAAAATTCTTTCAAAAAAGTAACCCGCCCATGAAAATTTTTTCAAAAATTTCATTTTTTTCCTTGTATAACCCGCGGGTAATGCACAAGATTTTACGGTAATTATTATCTATAATTAAAAACTCATTAATAAAAATTTGATAAATTTTTTAGTAAATATTATATAACCTATTTGACCATCAATAAATATATATTTTAAATATCTTTATATATTTAATAAATAATAGTGGAATAGCAATAAATTGAACATGGGCATATTAAATTCAATATTCTGTATCTACTCTAACAAGCTGACAATGAAGCTGTATACAAACTTAATATGCCTTATTTCGATATCTATGTGGAATATTAAATATTTGGCCCCTCTCATGCCTCCCAAAGTAAATAACAGATCTTAAAAAGTACATGGTTGTTTTTATATGCCCTAAACTCTCTGAATAAGACAATTAAATTAAAATCGGAGTCTCGACAGTGAAAATATATGCAAACTCACAATGAAGTGAAGCGACAATTATATGATAACGTATTGTATGAATAGTGTATGGATTGTGAATGAGTTGTTGTTATGGCATATATTGATAACCTAATGATAAGTACACGTCATTTGCAGACATAAACCACTCTCGCATTCAAACCAATTCAACGCTAACTCAAGAGTCGGTCAACTGATCCGTAATAATGGTAAGTAATGAATGACCACTAGTGATGACATTGTATTGACACGTGTCTGCCATGTGTTGACAGCCCCTGAAGCTGGACGTGAGGCGCCGGTTGTTGTCGCGCTCGGATCGGGTCAAGTGTGTGGACTTGCATCCGATGGAGCCGTGGATGTTGTGCTCACTCTATTCGGGTCACGTCCACGTGTGGAACCACGAGTCACAACAGTTGGTCAAGTCCTTCGAGGTGTGCGATGTGCCCGTCAGAGCCGCCCGATTCGTGTCGCGCAAGAACTGGATTATCACCGGATCCGATGACATGACTATTCGTGTCTTCAATTACAACACGTTAGAGAAAGTGCACTCATTTGAAGCGCATTCCGATTACATCCGCGCTATTGTCGTGCATCCGATCCAACCCTATATCCTCACATCGAGTGATGACATGTCAATCAAGTTATGGAATTGGGATAAGAACTGGGCTCACACTCAGGTCTTCGAGGGTCACACCCATTATGTGATGCAAATCGTGATCAATCCCAAAGACAACAACACCTTCGCCAGCGCTTCGCTCGACCGTACGGTCAAAGTGTGGCAAATGGGCTCCAGTTCTCCTAATTTCACTCTCGAGGGACACGAAAAGGGTGTCAATTGTGTTGACTACTGTCACAGCGGAGACAAGCCGTACCTGATATCGGGCGCCGACGACCGGTTAGTGAAGATTTGGGACTACCAGACGAAGACATGTGTGCAGACACTGGACGGTCACGCGCAGAATGTGTCGTCCGTCTGCTATCATCCGGAACTGCCTATCATTATGACGGGCTCTGAAGACGGAACTATGAGGATATGGCATCTCAACACTTACCGACTCGAAAGCACTTTGAATTACGGTTTGGAAAGAGTTTGGACCATATCTTGTCTGAAAGGATCCAATTGTGTGGCCATTGGTTACGATGAGGGAAGTATTATCATTAAGTTGGGTCGCGAAGAGCCGGCCATGTCTATGGATAATTCGGGTAAAATCGTTTGGGCCAAGCATTCAGAGCTACAACAGGCAAACATCAGAGCTCTCAACGACGCCGACGAACTCAAAGACGGAAACGTTTTACCGCTTAATGTCAAAGATATGGGCAGTTGTGAGATATATCCGCAAACCATTTCCCACAACTCCAACGGCAGGTTTGTTGTGGTTTGCGGTGACGGCGAGTATATTATATACACTGCACTCACTCTTCGAAATAAGAGCTTCGGTTCGGCTCAAGAGTTTGTGTGGGCTTTGGATTCGTCTGAATATGCCGTTCGAGAGAACACAACAAATGTCAAGATATTTAAAAATTTCAAAGAAAAGCAATCGTTTAAACCAGAGTTTGGCGCCGAAAGCATATATGGCGGCCATATGTTAGGCGTGAGGTCTACGGCTGGGCTCGCGTTCTACGAATGGGAATCTCTGGAACTGATCCGTCGAATTGAAATCGAACCGAAGAACGTGTTTTGGTCTGAAAACGGAGATCTCGTTTGCATCGCAACCGAAGAGTCATTTTTCATTTTGAAATACAATTCCGAAGCTGTTGTCAAAGCAAAGGATACCAGAGATGCCATCACTGAAGATGGAATTGAAGAGGCGTTTGATGTGATTGCAGAGCTCCAGGAGTCAGTTCGCACCGGTCTTTGGATTGGAGACTGTTTTATATACACTAATGGCGTGAATCGACTCAATTATTTTGTTGGAGGAGAGATCGTTACAATTGCTCATTTAGACCGGTATGTTATCCACTGATTGCCACACATTTTTAATCGATCTCTAAATTAATTGATTTGTTTGTTTTGCAGTACAATGTATTTATTGGGTTATATTCCTCGCGAAAATCGTCTGTATTTGGGAGATAAAGAGCTAAATATCGTATCGTATTCTCTATTGTTGTCTGTATTGGAATACCAAACAGCAGTAATGAGGACTGATTTTGAAGCCGCCGATCAAATCCTGCCGTCGATTCCGAAAGAGCAGAGGACACGAGTGGCACACTTTCTCGAGAAACAGGGCTTTAAAGCGCAAGCGTTGGCCGTCTCTACAGATCCCGAGCATAGATTTGATTTAGCGGTTCAGTTGAGTGACACTAAAATCGCATTCCAGTTGGCATTAGAGGCACAAAATGAACATAAATGGAAACAATTGGCAGAATTGGCCATTTCTTTGGCACAGTTTGATTTGGCGCAACAGTGTCTACATAACGCCCAAGACTTTGCCGGTTTGCTTCTGTTGGCCACCTCTTCGGGCAATTCATCGATGGTTGAAAAACTGGCCGATTCTGCACAGGAGAAGGCCATTAACAACGTATCGTTTTTATCGCATTTCATATTAGGAAACACTGAGAAAGCGTTGAATGTATTGATTGAAACGAATCGTTTGCCAGAAGCGGCGTTCTTCGCGCGGACATACTTCCCAACACAGGTCTCACGAGTGTTGCAACTCTGGAAAGAGAGCGTCACTTCAAAGACTAAAAGCGATAAGTCTGCGCAGGCATTGGCCGACCCGACAGAGTATGAAAACCTATTCCCAAATTTTGAGGATTCACTGAAAGCGCAAACATTTTTGGATAAAAAACGCGAAGCGAATGGCTTTGAAAAGGCCTCTAATTTTCCCAACATTTCATACAATCACGAAAGGAATCCAATCGAAGAAATGAAAGCAGAAGCGAGTGGTGTTGAGTACAATCCACACAACAATATGTCCCGAAACTCGATGAGTGCGAGCAAAGAGAGCGCAGACTTTGAAGAAGCGCTCTCTTCTCTACCGAAGGAAAGGGACGGTAAGGCAGAGCCTAAAGATAATTCATTAGAGGATTTGGACGAAGACTTAGACAACTTAGACCTCGAGGACGATAACATAGATGTTTCGGTAAGTTTTCAAATGTTAAAAAATTTAATATATTATTTTAATTAATATTATTTTAATTGCAATTAACAGGACGTTAATCTGGATGAAGATCTCATAAGCGATGACTAAAACACCATTTATTGAATTAATTTTGCAAAGAATTTAATTTCTATGTTTCTATACAGTAATCGAGTGAACGATTGATGAAATCACATGTTATTTGAAATACATTTTATAATTTATGTAATAAAAA